TTTCCCAGCATAACTACTAGTGCTCTGTTAAATAGCCATTCTATTTCTGTTGTGACGTTAAATTCATCCACCCAATGTACAACCACTGAAATAAAAAGGAGCATTTTAAAATGAAAGCAGAATCGGAGCTTTCCTTTGCTGTGCCCCTGCTCTGCGAGGGGGCCCGGGCCTATCAAAACCGACCGCGCAAACACGGAGCGGGAGTTCAGAAATGATGGATTGTTGTGGGTTGGGATGGGTTGCCTCATGGCACGTTAACAGCAAATCCCTGGCTCGGGATACACGGAGGCGTCCGGCGAGGAAGCGCGCGCTCTCCTTCCCTCCGAGCTGGATCGAGGGCCTGTTGCTGCAGCAGCAGCAGCAGCGCCTGTTCAGGACAGAGGTTGGGTGGCCCCTCGCCATGTTCCTGTTCGGAGGAACCCCCTTCCTCCAGCTCTCTGCCTCGGGCCTACCCTGCACGGGGCCTGCTGCGCCGCACAGTCAGACAGGGAGTCTGAGCAGGGTTTAGCAGCTTTTTAGTGACTTCGTGTTCTGCACACACAGTGGTTGTCTCACTGGTGTGCCTCACAGATGAAGTTGGGGATTCTTGCCAGAACATTATGCTGATTTTTCTTCCCCCTGGCATCTCAGAGAATATTATCCAAACAAGTAATCCCTATTATTTACTAGTCCCTCTTGGGAAAGCAGCGTCTCAGAGGAGTTTGGTGCCTAAGGGCGGAGATCACCCAGCTAGCTAGTGACAGAGAAAGGATTAAAAGAGCACCAGAAAATTCTTCACAGGATGGTCCTGATGCTTGTGTCTGACACCAGGCCAGAACCCTAGGAGAGAACCTACCAACCCAGGTAGGGAAACCTGGTGTACTGCTGTTCAGAGCCATGGAGCCAGGCTTTCTTGAACAGGATCGAGCGTAAGCGAAGAGCAGCAAACACAGTGACCTCCCCTTTCGCCAATAAAAGCTGTAGACGGGGACACAACCTGAAGTTTTCTGGAAATGCAGGACGGCTTTCATTGGCCAAGGTAACCTTAATCCACGTGGCTATCGATCGGGCACATTTTTTATTATCATCTCTTTTTTAAGTACTTCAAAGAAAGGAAGTAAAATTCCTGTCCCCTTAAGAGTGTGAATCATGAAGAATTTGTGTCACAAAGTTGTATACATTGCGACAGCCCAGGGCTGCTTTGAAAGAGTCCAAGGTCACAAGCGATGTGGAAAACCACCAGGTCAACCCATCAATTTGGAGCTATCACAAATATAGCGAGCCAGGGACCTGCTGAGAACAAACATGTGAGATGGAGAAGAGCTACAGGGGTGACTTGCAAAGACAGAGAAGGGCTGGCATATTAGAGGGCAGTTAGGGCTTTGTAAATAAGAAGTAGCAGAAGATTCATATTGATCTCCTGATGGCACAGGAAATATGTCAGTTTACACTTTCTTACACTGCAGCCACACCCTGCAGTGACTTTTTAGACAGTTGTCAGCTGCCAAGAAGTGTCAGAACATGTTGATTTCCATGTCTAAAAATTGCTTTGTTTCTTGCCAGCTTGGGCACTTACAGCAGCAGTAGCTGAGAAGCACTTGTGGGAACCGCGAGCTCCAGAGTGCCACGCTGAGCAGGAGAGCTTCGTGCACCTCCTTCAGGTGAGGTCGGGGTCTCCAGAAACCAAGCAGGACACCGAGAGGTGCAAATGTAGAAAGCCCTAGTATTTCCAGCAGGCAGAGATGGCCATGGCTGTGGCCTGGGAGCCTGCACGTCATCACGCACGCACCGGAGCTCCAGCCGAGGCACCAAATCTCCACAGGGAGCAGCCGCCTGCCCCGCAGCAAGTGATGCAGCAATATCACACTGCTTAATCCTAGCCCTCCCGAGAGCAGTCTGGCTGGGTCCACCCTCACATCCGGCTCTGTAGCTCCTCTGGCCCCACATGGTGAGGCCATGACCATAATTACTATTTTTGATATGGTTTTGTTTGGTTTTCAGTTTCAAAGCCTGAAAATAATGCGAGGGCCGTTTTGCAGCCTGCTGGAGCTGGTAGCGTGAAGGAGAGGCTGCGTGTGACGTCGGAGGGGTCAGTGCCTGCTGCGATGGGTTTGGATGTTTGCGTGAAGCCAGAACTGGTTCAGCTTTGGCAGTGTCTGTGTTACCAAAACAGCAGCTGGGTTTCATTTCGGGGAGAAGTTGCTGTTTCACTGCAAAAGAGAGTCTGGGAACAACCCAACACTTACATGTTGGGAGATGATGAGAGGAAAAGGACTTGGAGGCAAGGGTCCTTGACAGTGTGGACATGCGAGAGGCTTCTGCTAGAGGAATTTATTGCAGGAACTCATTGAACCACCCCAAAAAACGCCTTCACTGGAAATGCTGGAAGTTCCTAGGCATCTGATCATATGCATCCCATGCTCTTTATGCCTGAAAACGTTTCTCTGTCCAAGTCTGTCTCCTCCCTTTATGTCACGTAACTGACAGTTCTAATGGCTTTTCTTACGTCTCAGGATGATTTTTATTGCTGCTGTGGAGTGGGGCAACACCCATCACAGCTGTTGCATCAGAGCAGTTGCTATTTCTGGTATGAAGTGTATTGGAGCACATAGTGATAGGTATAAAATATGTATAGCTAGATTATCTGTGAACGAATAAATTGTAGAAATGTCTTCTAAATCCTTACTCTTACAATTCTGCAATTACAGAAACTACAGAAATCGCAGAAAATAAATTGCAGATTATATGAAAATATTTTCTGCATCAGAAAGAAAAAAAAAACATGAAAGAAGACATTGATGTGAACTGCTTTAGGCAGTGCTGTGTTTGCAGTTGCATTATATCCACTGAAAGTTCTTTCAGCAATGAGAAAAATAAACGTAGATTTATAATTTAGGAAAACCGGTACAGGAAGGACACCAAGCTCCTCTCATCTTCAAAGAGCTGAGTTTGGATACTGCTTTTAAGAAACACAGATTTTGGTGAGTGTCCTCCCTAGTCTGTCTGTGTCACAAAACACTCTTGGTGTGGCCTGAACAGTCACCCCTCAGAGGGTGACGGTACCACACATGTGAGCACAGCAGCGCACAGCAAGCACATCCCTGTGAGAGGTGCCTGTGCTACACCTGAGCTCATCTGCTCATAGTCATGTGTTTCCATTTGCCAAAAATGCCTTTCCTTTTAGCGAGGAGGAGGATGGAGGGAAGAAGGAAAATGCCCCTGCTCTGGAGGAGCACAGACCTGGGTGGATCAGAGACCGTACGCTCAGTCTGCCAGTCCTGTGCGTTATTTCTCTGCAGATACTCTGCAGCATCTCAAATGGCTTTAGGCAATGAATCGCACTTCTGTCTGACTGTCAATCTAACAATAGAGGGTTTTTTGGATGGATTTTTGATCACTGTAAAGCACAAGCCCTCCTCTGAAAGTGGAAATCCTCCATCACTCTAACCCAGGCCAATCACTTGAGAAATCCCTGGGCTGATCTTACTGCCCATCCCTCCTGTGGCTTGAGGACTTTTAATTTTACTTCTTTGAATTGGATGCCGGGAGAGGCTGAACCTCTTGAAGTCCTGATCTTACTTGGAGTTGCAGGTATGTGTAAGCTTTTTTGGTTGGTGTTTTTCTGCCCAACTTGTTTAGCTGTCAACCAACTCTACCTTTTCTTACTTGCAAATACTCTGCCAGATGTAAACAATATTTATGTGGATTGCCTGAATAGTGGTAATTTTCTTTGAGGTGTCTTTTTCTGCATATTGGCCCACTGAAGTTGGGTGGAAGGTGGGTTAGAGGAATAACAGGTATATTTTCACCACCCACCCAAAATGTAGCTCTTAAGCATGTGGCCAAAGACTTGCTGTATAAGGAGATGGAGAGGGAGGTTTTGCCTGAGGGCCAGTCAGGGCTACAACTTGGAACTTCTCTGCAGAACTGCCTTTTACAGGAGCCTCTGCAGCCCGGCGGCTACTGAGATGTGGAAGGTGAGTGTCCTCCTTGGTGTCCGCAGTGATGTGTAGCCACATACCTCCCGTGCAGCCAGATCCTCCTTGGTGTGACTTTCAGCCGAGCTTCTCCTCTGAGCATATGTACACCATGGGAACCTGGTTGTTGCCTGCCAGCTTTTGCTTTTTTTTTTTTTTTTTGTCTGAGGTTAGTTTATTATTCTTAAAACATCTTGTTCTCTCTTTCTTGCCTGAAATGATGTCGGCGTTTTTCCTTTTTTTCTTTTAACCTTCGCGTGGAGCTTGTTGTGGTCCTTCCCCCATCACAGTTCTTTTAACACATTGTTTGTGCCCGTTGGGTCTAATGAGCAGGTTTCTCTTGCTCGCACAGTCTGCGAAGTCTGAGCTGTAAGAAGTGACCCCTTCTTCAGCTATCAAACACCTTTCCTGAGCACTATGTTCGCACATTAAAGTGAACCCTTGGATACTTAGAGAACCTTGGAAAAAAAAAAAAGTTCTTTTGCTACTGAGAACTAATAGCTGAGCTGTTCTCACCCATGTGCAGAGGCTTTTGTCTGGTTTCACTTGCTTCTCGTGACCCTGGGCTCCAAATTAAGAGCCCTGCTATTCCGGACCATGTGGAGGAGTTTCTTGCAAGCGTCTGTCAGCCTGCGTGCGGGTCATTTCCAGTCAGACTCCAGAAAATCATTCATTTTCGCAACTGCAGTAGGAAACCACAATCGTTTGAGTATGTCAGATGTTTAATTATAGACTCGTTTCGTGTTGAAGGTAGAATGGTCAGGCCCTTCCTAGAGGGAAGCTGTATTTCATGCAGGCAATGTCTTGCCTGCTCGATGCTGTAGTTCAGGATCAAGGGGAACACGGAGCAGGAGGGCTTTGCTCCAAGCTGCCTGCAAATACACCCTGCTTCAGAAGCAGGAGCAGCTCTGTGCTTGCAATTATTTGTTGAGGTAAAAATAGGCGATGATCCACAGTGGATTTTATTCACATGAAATATTCTGATGAGAGCTATAGAGTATTGTGGAAATCTAAGGAAAAGGGAAGGTGCGGAGCAGTGAGGGAACTTCATACTACAAGAATTCGGTGGACACATATAAGGAAAACAAGCAAATTTTCTCCTTGCTGCCTCTCACTTCTGTCTACGTCTCCTGGTCACCCTCTTTAAGAGACTGTAAGAGACTAGTCACTTGTTATTGGTAAAATGAACTTTTTTTCTTTTTTTTTTTTTTTACTTTTTATGAAATTACGTGGTAGTTTATGTCCTTTTTTCTGTTTGTTTGTTTGCTTGTTTCCTCTCTCCTAGCTTTAATTTTAGCCACAATGCAGACAGTGCTCTGTGCTATGTAATCAGCCTTCCAATTTTTGGTGAGTGCAGCAGATATATTCCTTTTAGGGAGTAACTATCAGAGGAACTGCTTTCAAATCTAAGTTTCCTGTGCAATGTAATTATTCCTATTTAAATAAAAGACTCCAGCAGCGCTACTCAGCAGCACCTCTCTATACAAAGCAAGAGTTCCCTCTCAACCCAGTTTTCTTTCTGTTCAGAAAATTATGCAGAATCAAACTGACTTCAGTCAAAGTGACTAACAGCAGTGATCATATTATATTCAATTGAAACCTTATTTTTTTAATATCACAATGAAAGCACTTTATTTTCCCTTATTGTTAGTATTACCACAATGGAGAAGCTTCAGAGAGAAACAGCTGTCTCCCCTTAGCCTCTTTCTAAGACGTAGCTGGGTCATGCTTCATGCTGCAGGAGCCTACGCACCCATTTGCAATATGATCAATAGAAAATGGCTTGATGAGATTTGATGTTTGCAGAACCTGAACGTAGTCTGCCCACTGATGGAAACATGTTTCAATGTGAAGTCTAACACACTTACAGCCGTGTGCTGTGGTGTCAGAGACTTTAGAGCCTGTGGTTGGGCTCTTAGAGCAAGATCCGCAGCAGTGAGGCTTTGCAGGGATTAAAAAAATCTCACTGTACCTGCAGGTGCAGCCGAGGCGCTTGACGCGCGCGTTACATGTGCGCCCGTTCTTGTGCCTGTGCTCTGCAGCGGTGACGAGGGGGCTGCTCCGCAGGGGAAACCGTCCAAGGTGGGTGGAGGAGAGCGTGGAGCCTGTCCCGCTGTAATGAGCTCTCTCAGCATCGCCAGACGTCGTCTCTTTGCGACAGTGGGCACGTGGATGGCCTGGCTGGCCATCAGCAAAGTGTGGATCTGTACCAGACGGGTGTGCTTGACTGATCGGGTGTCACGGGTCCTTGTCTTGCGCCTGCTGTTTTGGGACATAACTAATTTAGCCATGTGCAAAGTCATCATGTCTGGAGTGGATGGGTGAAAAATAATAGATGAGGAACTTGACATTTGAAACTGGGGAGCCGCTCTGGCCCATCTTGTCAAATGGGACCACCCCAAGTGCAATTACTGCCGTGTAGGCTTATTTTTATCCCAGCCTATAATAATGAGGCGCACGCGGTGGTGACTGGGGAGAAGGAGGCACCTCAGTGTTGGGGACACCCAACCGAGACCCCTGCTGAGTGGGGACCCAGGCAGCTGCCTCCTGTCACCAATGCTCACACTCTCCTCCTGTGATCGAGGTATGTCACCACGCTTGGGTTAGCCAGTAGGGCGCTTTGTAGCTTAGTTTACTCATTTCTTTGTTTTTCTCTAACTAACCCCTGAAAGTCCTTGGTTTCCTGCGCAATATAAATAAATTGTGTGATATCGCACCTGAGATGGAGTGCGTGTTCCCTTGCTGCCCGGAATCCGCAACACCCTGCTACAAGATCTCCTCAGTTATCCGAATAAAACAGTTTATCCCACTAGCCAGTGCTCGCTGGCCCTCCTTGCTGTTGCAGCAACAACAGCCGGCCTGCACAGCCCGGGCTCCCTCCCTCCTGTCCCCAAACCTCTCCGCGTGGAGAGCAGCAGGTCTGGGGAGCAGGAGGGTGTCGGTGGCGTTTGCGCACATGGAATCTCACAGCCCTGCCCACCCCGAGCTCATGTGGCAATTTCAACGCACGCTGCTGCTGTGGTAACGACCTGGGCCCTCCGTCCCCACGCTGCAAGGTGCCGTTAAGTAAGTGGCAAAGTCCTCAGAGCCCTGCTGGCTCCCGCACTGCAGAAACAGGGCTAGTGCATGCACTGCCCACACAGTTGTTCTGGCGTGGCTGAAGGAACACGGAAACGAGTAACAATAAAAATCTTAGAGGTACTGGGTTTTTTTAAAATCAGTAACAACGTGATTTTTCTTATAGCACTCAGTAACTGGGAGTGCTTGCAGTGGGCAAGCAGCGATGTGAAATGATCTTGCGGTGGCTGCGTCGCAGGAAGCTCTTCACATTGTCATGGTTTCATACATTAAATGAACTTGCATCAGAGGCTCGGGGTGTTTAGCTGCTGCAGTTGCAGTGGCCTCCACAGCTGTCTTGTACAGTGTTCCCGCACAGGTGAAATAACGCTGGACCAAATAACCTGCCAAGGTCCTCTCCCCTTCAGTGTCAGCAATAGGAGGACCCCTGTAAGAAGCTGGGGTATGAGAAAGGAAAGCGTGGGGCCTCCACAGTGAGTCTTCTGATTTCTCACTGCAGGGCCTTCTGCAATATCCCTGCTGCATCCAGGAGCTGCCTGGCCTTGGAGCCGTCTCGTTCTGCCATATTCCCTTCTTGCAAAACACTGAGGGACAATAAAGAGAAATGTAGATACCTCTATTCCTGCTCTCGCAGATCTGGGGGAACAGGAAGGTTTTACAGAGCTGGTTCAACCAGCCAGGCGGCCTGCTGAGCTGCAGGCCCTTCAGGAGCAAGAGGCTGGTTTTAGACCAGTAAGTTAAGCAGGTCGGAGACCCAGAGACCAGCGGGCACTAGACATGGACCAAGTGGGAGGCGGCTCGATGAGGCAGGCGCCTGCTCTGTGCGGGCAGCTCCATCGGCTGCGGTGACGGCAGAGGCCATGCTTGGGCTCCCGCTCCTTCGGGAGAGCGGGACCAGGTCTTCATGGAATTTGTCACAAATAATGAAGCTCATGCAGCTCCCCACCTTGGATCCTGTATTAACAGTCCCTGGGCTGCTACTTCACGGGAAGGTTTCTGGACACCTGCCTCTGCTTCCTTCTCTCCCTGGGGTTTCCTCAGTCTCTTCTCATCACATTTCCTGGTATTTCTTCAATCCTCTGCCTTAGGCCCTAAGCCTGCAGCTGCCGCACTAACAAGCCAAGCCCTCCCTCCACACGTCTGTCCTCCTGGAGGCTTGAGACGCAGGGTGATGAGGGTTGGGTTTGCTTTTACATACTAGGAATGGTCTGAAGGACCCATTCAGAGCACTTGTATCCATTTAGGGGTGAACTTTGCCTTTGTTTTGATGAAAAGAACATAGAGACAAAATATGTGACAACTCTGCATGTGGGGCCCTGCAGATGGAGCTGGTGGGACGCACAACTGTTGTGTTTTGCCCTCACTGTCCTGCAGTGGGGCTGAAGCCCCCGCGCCGGAGTCGGGTAAGCGCTACAGCGCTGCAGGAGCAGCCTCGGCTTTCCCAGTTTTAGCCTTGGGAGACAGTAACATTATTGTTCCTCCTGCTCTTGCTCCTCCTTTCTCTAACTATTTCAGTGTCCAGATAGGTGATTGCTGACGAATGGTCGACTTGGAGGAAAAAATTGTTACTCTGCAGTCATCCATCCAGCAGCAGGGCTCGTCCTTCACTCTGGACTCAGTGCCCGAAGGCTTGGCCTTGGTCTGTGTGGGCTACAAAGAGACGTCGTTTTTAGAATGGCCCCTCTCTTCATTGTTGTTCTCAACTCCAAGATGAAAATGGCAACACTCAGGAGGGCATCTGGGTGTATTTTGGGTCTCTTCCCTGCTCGCTGCCTCCATATGGTGCTGCATAAAACCGGGAGCGACGCCTAAGGTCGAGGGAGGAGATCCTGTCCCTCTACTCAGCCCTGGTGAGGCCGCATCTGGAGTACTGTGTCCTGTTCTGGGCTCCACAGTACAAGAGGGATGTGGAGCTGCTGGAGAGAGTCCAGCGCAGGGCCACAAGGATGATCAGGGGCCTGGAACATCTGCCCTATGAGGAGAGACTGAGGGAGCTGGGCCTGTTCAGC